TTTGAAGACCATATGGTTTAAGCTCAAAAAATTACTGAACCAGTAATTAAACTTTGATCGTTACATAAATAATAGAGATGATAGGCAATCAATGTTTTTATTGAAAAAAATCAATTACGATATCATAACATACAATAAGAAAGTTACTATATGTTGTAATTTCTTTAAATAATCAATCAAAATTAATTCATATGGACACATTGAAGGTTATATTCATATATTCATACGTACACATTGAAGGTTATATTATATCAAAATTAATTCATATGTACACATTGAAGGTTAAATTGTAATATAATGAACATAATAAAATTTTCCTTAAAATATTTAAATTAGAATTCATTACGACATGATACCTTCACTGGTTAGTCAATAACTAATTTCAATATATTTATAAATAATTTAAAAATTATATGACACATTCTTTATCTTTGTAACTTTTTTTGCTCATTTTTGCTTATTGGAGGGATGATAGTAAATTACAAAAACATCCAAGTTTAACACAATAATTTACAGTTTTAATAAGTTAGTAAAAAAAGGACAATTCTTTTTTCTACAAGCTTAATTTATTAGTCAATCAAATGTCACTTATAAATTATATATCTCACTTGATAATTAATTGAACTTAGTTTTATTTTTCAGTAATTAAGATTATTTTTAATACATAAATTATGACTCATAACTTTATTTTTTGTTATTACTTAGGGTAAAATACCCCTATTTTTAAAATTTTAATTAAATTTCAAATAGGTTCATTAGTTTTCGAAATAGACACTTCATGTAAAAAAAATAGTTTTTGCTAAATATATAAATCTAACTGTTAGTCAAAGGTTAATGATTTTGTTAGTTTGATGAATTGATAATATTAAAATGATAATTTTACTATTTATTAATTTAAAAAATTATTATTATATATTTTTTATTAATTTAAAAAAAATAAAGAAGCACTGATCGACACTTCTTATTTTTTATTTTTTAAAAAATATAATAATAATTTTTTAAATTAATAAAAAAATATTTTAATCATTTCATAATCTTTGTTAATAGTGTTTACATTTTTTAGGTAGAAAATCCATTTTGAAAACTAATAGATTTGTCTGAAATTTTGATTAAAATGTAAAAATGTGGGAGTATTTTACCTTATTAATTATGAAATTAGATATGTTTTCATAATTAAATTAACTTATTATTATTTAAAATTAATTATTTTTAATTAATAAATGATTAACAATTTAATTTTAATTTTCACTCTAAATATATTTATTTTCAAAATTCATGTCTAAACTACGTTTTACTTGTATGATTTCAAAATTGATTAATCAACTTTTAATTAGTTATAGTATACTGTTTTTTAAAAATTGAAAATTTATTTTTAAAATAAAATTTGTTTTTAATAGTTTTATGAAAATTCATTGTTTTATATATATAATAACACTGTACTCTAAATGTTAATTAGTTGTGGATCAACTCGATTTGTAAATTATTATTATTATTATTAGTACATATAAAATCATTCAAGCACAATATATGTTTAACAAAAACTAATAAACTAATCGGGGGTCCTTACTTGGAAAGTGTATGAGACTTGGGAAAGTTACAGAGTAATGTACAGGGAAAGGACTTATGCTTCCATTGACTCGGGTAATGAACAAGTTACCGAAGACCCTGATAACAATAGGCTTATGTTTCTGATGCATGCTTTCCATTTGCTTTATCCGGTCAAGTCAGCACTGTGTGGGACACAAGAGAAAAACCTTTTACTACCAACCAATCTCATTCATCTTTGCGTTTCCTTCAATCATTTCTGCATTCCTGGTTCTCTTACTCGAAAGAAAAAAAAAATGATTGGATGTAGATGAGTAATTACAGTGCAACTCAAAGCAGATGGCAGCATTGACAAATATAAAACAAGGTTAGTACAAAGGGGTATAGGCAGAGATATAGGATGGATTATCAAGAGACATTTGCACTAGTAGTCAAAATTAATGCAAGTCGCATTCTCATATCTATAACAGCAAAATGAGATTGGCCTTTACAATAATTTGATATTAAAAATGTTTTCCTCAATGGAGACTTAGAGGAAGAAGTTTACATGGAGTTACCATAAGGAATTAAACACAATTCTTTGTGTAAAAGGAAAATTTGTAAACTAAAGAAGTCACTATATGTGCTGAAACAGTCACCTAGGCTTTGATTTGAGAGGTTTTCTTATAAAATGAAAGCATTTGGTTATAACCAAAGTAATTCAAACCATACTTTATTTATAAAACACAAAGAGTGGAAGTTAACAGCTTTAATTGTGTATATCGATGATATGGTCTTGACAGGAGATGACTTATACGAAATGAAAGCATTACAAGAATATTGGGTTGTTAAATTTGAAATGAAGGATTTGGAGCAACTTAAATATTTCTTAAAGATTGAGGTTGCAAGATCGAAACAAGGGATTTTCTTTTCACAAAGGAAATATGTGCTAGATCTTTTAACTGAAAACGGAATGCTTGCTTGCAAACCAGTAGATCAAGTTCCAATAGATAATGGTCATTATCAATGATTGGTTGGAAGATGAATTTATTTGTCACACACAAGATTGGATATGACTTATGTTGTAAGTGTCCTAAGTCACTTTATGCATGCTCCAAGTGAAGAACACATGAATGCAGTGTATCGAATCTTAAGATACTTGAAGAGTGCTCCAGGCAAAGGTTTGTTGTTCTCAAAAAATGGTGTCTTTGACATTAAAGGATTTACGAATTCTGACTAGACAGGTGATCAAACAACTAGAAGATCCACATCTGGTTATTTTACTTTTGTGGAAGGTAATCTTGTCACTTGGAAAAGCAAGAAGCAAAAGGTTGTGGCAAGATCAAGTGCAGAAACTAAATTTCGAGGTGTGGCTCATGGAGTATGCGAATTATTATGGATTAGGAGTATTCTCAAAGAGTTGGGAATTGAATATGCAAAACCTATGAATCTTTATTGTGATAATAAGGTAGCCATTGAAATTGCACAAAATCCTGTACAACATGATCGCACCAAGCATGTTGAAATTGATTGACATTTCATTAAGGAGAACTTCGATAAAAAATTATATAATTTTCATTTGTCTAGTTTGAAAGTTAATTAATTGATATTTTCACGAAAACAGTTTTAGAAAAAGTGTTTCATGGTATAATTGATAAGTTGGGCATGACTAATATCTATGATCCAACTTGAAGGGGAGTGTCAGTATTAACTGTAATTATTAATTTTTAAAAATATTTTAGGGAAGTTTTTTTTTTATTTTTTTTATTTTACTTATACTCTAAGAAAGTCTAGGATTAGAATATTTTTTTATTTACTATTTTCTTTACTTGCACATCAGATAGTTTTTAGTTTAATTGATTATTATAATTATTTTATTTACACACCAAGTAACTTTAGGTTTAGTTAATTATTATAAATAACTTTTTATGTAATTTTTTATTTTTGATCAAACAGTTTAATTCTTTACTTAGATTTTGAATATTTTCTGATTGCTTGCCTATTTCACACTCGGCATTATTATGCACTTTTAATGTTTTGGGTTAGCATGGTTGCATGATACATCGCAGTTTGACATTGCATCTGTTGGGTTTTCTATATCTTTTATCATCCTTTTTCCTAGCCAGTCATTTACTACCACGTAATCCTCATTCTCTAAGTCATCATCTCCAACCCTTTCCACTATGAAGCAAGGACTTTGGACTGATAATTCTTTTGGAAAATTATCACAAGCACCACCCGTTAGTTCCTTTTCCCCTTCATTGCCTTGTTTCAGGTATGTTCCTTCTTCCATCTTTTTCTCCTTTACAAGCATGTGATAAACTTTTTCTCCCACAAGCGTTTTCTTCTTTTCTTCTATCTTCTCCATAGTATCAATCCCTATGCTTATCACCCCAAAATTGAAGTTGGTTTTTCATGACTCTTGCCTCAATAAAAAATAATTCTCTCTAACCTTTTACGATATTTGAGAATGTATTCATGCACTAAGCATGAATTGGCACCCCATATACTGCAATCCATTTAAGGAATAACTTTAGTTGGAATTCTTCGGACCATACTTCAATGGTGTCAAATTACTACTTTTGTAACTAGTTTCAATTTTGTTTCTTTTACTCTTTAAACATATATTTGTTGTAAAAAGTGATGAGAAAATGGTTTGGGGCTAAATGCCTCAATGATAATCCCTTGTTACTTTCTAAATCGAAAACCATCCTTAATTTATCAGCACTAACATAATATTTGGTTATGGCCACAATACTTCTCTCCAAACAGTGCAAGTTCTCACTTTTAATCATTTCCATGAAACTTTTGATCTGTTTCTCTCCATTTTTCATGTCTTGCAATGATAACCATGGCTTCTGGGTTTCCTTTTAGCACCTTTGGGCATAAGATAGTTTGGCATTGTGATCTATCTTCTGATTACAATCTTCATTTGGATTTTTAGCTCTTTCTCTGGTATCTCTTGTCTTATGCCCTTCCTTTCTTCTTGTCCAGCAAACTTTGCAATATTGATCCTTATTCTTTGATCAAGTAACCACACTCCATCGAACATACTTTTTGCCCTTTTAATGGTTGATAATCGATCAAATCTCACAAACCCAAACCTCTTCCCATTTGTGCTCATTTTTTGCGCAACGAACATGCCAACAGTATTCCCAGTTTGTCCAAAGACTATTTTCAACCATATCAACCGCCTCACGTATGTTGTTCATAAAGAGTGAAACAATGTTATTTTTGTAATGAGTAGCATCCATGCACCATTCTATCTAACTTTTTGCATGTTCTCTTAACAGTTCTTTAAATCTTCAGTTTATTGCCTTCTCCCAATGGCTAAATTTTTATTTGTCAAGAATGAGATTTATTTCTTATTCTCATTTACACATAGGTTGATCCAACTACTAATCAAGGACTTATACTCCTATTTATTTGAAGAACACTCTTTCCTTTGTTTCTTTTATTGTGGGATTGTATCTCACACTTATTATATTATTGAAAATGTCTAACATTATATTATTGCACTTACTCTGTTTAATATTTCTTGGTGTATCAAATTAAATATCTACATTTTTAAGGGTTATTAAAGATAATGTCTACTTTCTAAATATAAATTGTCTCAATGATGATATTTATTGAAAATTAATTTTTTGTACAGGTCTCTCTAGTTTTTATGAAGCCTGAAGAGGAAAAGTTGAAAAATAAAAAACAAAAAATGCCTCATTTTTTAGTTTTGTGTCATTTAAAAGTCGACACTCAACTTATGTTCTCTGTATGTTACATGAGAGATCAAACTATTCATGGGTTTGTCAAGGATGATTGTGTTAGTTGAAAGCATAACATTTAGCATTGGTTTGAGGATGCTAAAACGGTTGTTGAGGTCCATTATATAGGAACTAGAATTAAGGAGATAGTATATAATTAATCTGCATAAATTGGTGCAAGAGCAAGATAGATCACCTTTGCCATTAGATAGTTGATTACTCTTAAAAAATTGCAGCTTCCGTGTTGGAATTTGACTTGTATTGGATGTGCATAAAATACAAGGGGAATTTGATTTTACTAATTAGATGCGATAATTAAAGTGGGTTGGTGAGGATAGGAATTTAGTGCGATGGTCATGTCAAAAAATCAAAGATCAACACGGTGTGCCTAGTTAAGCCAAATGGGGCATTAACGGATAAATTATTAATTATAAAGTATTTTAACCGCTACACCCAAAAGCGGCAATAAAAGAAGAATGCATCCTAGCAAAATTGATGTAACCCATTAACTTTGGTCAAATATAAAGTAATTTTGATGTTCGGCAAAGCTTTTTGAAGAGTCTCGTTACGGAATACAGACAGAGAAAGTGGAAGGGAAAGGGCATTCAGGCAACACCGCGTGAAGCCTTGGACACAAACCAGAAAGGACAACTTTTGACAACTTATTACTAACCACTTCTTGGACATTTCATTTGCCTTTCTCTTTTCTTTTTTAATCGGACACTTGCAACTAGACAAATTGATGGCTGATAGCATATGTTACATCACATGGCCTCAAAATTGAATGTGGACAGAATTTGGTCTTTTCTCTCTTTTGTAATTGTCCTGCATTTCCATCGTTACTTCTTGGCAAAATTTACAGATCTAAGTATTAATCCATTTTCAGTTCTCACTTCTCTGTTCTCGTGTTGTCAAATTTTTGGGGAGTGGAGATGGCAGATGCTCTTCTTTCAGCCGTTCTAAACACCATCTTGGAGAACATAAACTCTCTGTGGCTTGAAGAGTTTGGGATCACTGGGGGCTTGAAAACCGAGCTCGAGAGTCTGCAGAGCACCTTAAGTACGATCCAAGCGGTACTTCTTGATGCAGAGGAGAAGCAGTGGAAGAGTGAGGCTATCAAGAATTGGCTGGGAAAACTCAAAGATACGGCTTATCATCTAGATGATATACTAGATG